AAGTTGTAGCCCTGTTTCTAAGCTTTGAAACGAGACTAGAACCGTAGCAATCAGAGGTGTATAACGAAAGTTATGGTCTTTTTAGTGTGACCTGTGCAGAATGACGGTTTTGAGGAAATCTTGTAGTTGGCATTTCATTAGTGCATTAGTGAGCATGAGCTAGTTCTACACAATTGTTTATGCACTTAAGCAGTAAGAAGTAGCTTGAGATATAGTAGAGAATGTGAGTATAAGCTACTTTAAGAGTTAAGAGAAAGAGAATAGAGTAGGTTGTGCGATGGGGAACCCGTGAGTAATGGGTAGAGTATTCCCGCATGTACGCCGCATTGAGAGAGCGGCCTGAGTATGAGATAGAGAAGTGGTGTAGCCCGTGAGAGTGCATGCGGATGAGGGCTATACCCGAGTACCCGAGAGAGAGATTATATACTCACATGGCCAAGGGTTCCGAATCCATGCATAACCGAGTCCGATCGGCTAGAGTGAATAGAGATCACGTAGAGCGGGAGTGAGTCCCGGCCGTACCCCCGGTGAGATGGGGTCGTGATTTATGAAAGAGTTATGAGAAAAGAGTTTCTAAGAGAAAGAGAAAGAGGAAAAGAAAGGCGTACCCAAAGAGTTATTGAACGGGGAGTTGTAAGGAAAGAATTAGAGATAGAGAGTTACGGGGCTAGTATGAGTAGAGGATTTACTTACTGAGCATTATTTTAGTGCTCACCCCGTTATTTTTTCATGTTTTGCAGGACCTAGGTGAGGAACACTGTCGGATGGATGTCGGCGTGCGAGGAGGAGTGGTTCCACTGTCCCTGATGTTTTTGATGACTTTTGTATACGTTATATATTTTGTGTAAAAACGTATATGTTTGTAAAGAGTATGTATATATGTTTAATAAAAGAAAAATTTGGGCCCAATTTCTTTATAATATGTTATATGTATTTCTTTATAAGTTTTTGAGTAGTAGTGGCTATTACAGGGGGTGGGGAATGATTTTGAGGGTGGGGATGGGTACGGTGAATGAGATCCCCGCCCCGCCCCATTGCCATGCATAGTAATTAAGGGTCACCAAAAATGTGATCAAAGGCACCTGAGTCAAGAACCCGAGATCCAAGAGAAGAAGACTGAGTAAGGCACACAACTGAATTACCCGATTGAGCAATATAGGCAATAGATGAAGAAAACTGCTTATTTGCCTAAAACTAGAGGTATTCTTCATAATCAGCCCCAGTGAGAGTTAATGATGGCTGAGTGTGTGTAACACCCACATGGAGGTAAATAATTTAATTTATGTTCTTATACCTTTAGTTGATTTTTGCTAAGGTTATTTTAAGGAAAATGTGAAGAAAATGTCTTAAACTTGCATTAAGGGTAAAATAGTCTTTTCACTCAAAATTAGTTGAAATTATGGAAAGTGAAAAGAGATAGAATTTTATGGAGAATGTAATAAAAATGAGGGCATTATGGTAATTGACTAAGGAACATAGATGAAATTTTAAAGAAAGTGTAAGGGCAAAATGGGAAACTATATATAATTTTTATGTTATATCAAATTGAAGAGTGAAACCCTAGCCACTTTAATCTAGATGCACGCCACTTTCACCTCCATATTCTCTCAAATTCTTCAATTCTTCTTCAAAGGAAATTCAAAGGTTTTGGATGTTTTTTAGTGGATTTTCAATCTTAAGCTTCTATAGGTAAGATCCTTGCACTAAGAAGTGAATTTTAGTTTTTAAAATGTTGATTTTGATGGTTTTTGCTCATAGATTTAAGAGGAAGAGAGTTTGATCAAAGGAGATTCTTGAAGGGTTGAATTTGCTCATATCAAAGGTAAGTAAATCCTACCCTAAGTGTGATTTAAGTTATGTTGTGTAGAGAATTTTCTTTGTGCATATATATATGTTATATGTGAAATTGTTGATGGATTTGGTGTTGAATAATAATTAGAATCTATCCATGAGAAGTTGGGTTGGTGTATGTGATACTTGATGAATGTTTGGTTGATATTTGGAAGAGTTGAAGCGAAAATTTTGAAGTGTGTATTTTGGGCAGATTTGGAGTTAATTATAGAGGAGTTTATTCCAAGTTTTTGGTGGCCTAAAATAGAGATAGAAGTGTAGCTAAATTAGTGTTGATTTGTGCACATAAATTGTTTGATGAAATGCCAAGGAGAAATGCATGTATGAGTATGATTATGTGTTACCTTGGGATGTGTTTGTAGATGGTAGAGAATGACATGTTGGCATTCCATAATGTATAATTACAATTAAATATGTAAATTTAGAAAGAATTATAAGCATGAAACCATCTACATGCATATATATTCATAAGAGCATGAAAAAGCCCTAAAATATGTTAAAGAGAAAATAGAAATAAATGAAAATATTAAAGGTATTCAAATCTAAAATTTTACCTAAAGAAGTGTAAAAAGATTAAATAAAAAAATAAAAAAAAAAAAAGAGAAGGTTGTTGCGATGGAAAGCCCATAAGTGACATAGTCCCACATGCACGCCACCTTTAGTGAGCAGCCTCAGAATTCAGAAAGAAAAAATGTACAGTCCGTTAGAAGTGTGTGTGGATGAGGACTGTACCCAGAATTCGAGAATTCACTCACACGGCCAAAGCTCCAAATCCATGCCTCAACCGAGTCTGATTAGCAAGAATAGAAAGAATAGAAAAGAAAGAAAGAATAGAAAAGAAATAGAGAAATAAAGAAACAGAATAAGAAAAACAGAATAAGAAAAATAGAAAAGAAAATGCATAATTTATGCATTTGTGCATTTGCATCATGAATATGCATAATACCATGCTCATTATCATGGGTAGTGAAAAAATTAGAAAACAGAGAGCAAAATAGAGAAAGAATAAAGAAAGAACAGAGAAGAACAGGAAAAAAATAGAGAATTGAGAAATGTGATGTAAGGAAAGAAAATTCAGAATTTTAAGCAACGGAGAGAGAAGGGTAGCATAACGGGTTTACTTACTGAGCAATTAGTGCTCACTCCATTGTTTTTAATGTTTTTGCAGGTAATAGGTGAGTTGCGATCGCACGAAACATCGCACAATGGATGGGTTGGGCTACACTGTCACGTTGCTATTTTGAGTATATTTTGTAAATATTTGTATATAAAGAAAAATTCAATACGGGCCCATACTTTGTTACTCGTATATGTGTATTTTTTTATATATATTGTTAATGAGATTTATTATTTATTAATTATTTTACGAGTATACTAGCTAGAAAGAAAGCATTACAAGGTGTCCTTCAGGAGAGTCAAAACGAAGGTCAACCTGAGCAACATTAGCAGTCAGAGTAAGGCGACCATGTAATTTGTAACATTTTTCCTTGGTATGCCCCCAACGATGATAGTAACTACACTTGGGTCATCCGCTTCGACCACGATCTCCTTGCTCTCCCTTATAAGTAGTTTGAGACTGAGAAGCTAGAGCAGAAGAGTCAACAGCGATAGAACTCGGGACAGTACTTAGGGATGAAACTCAAAGTAACCTAACAAATACTTCATCAAGAGATGGCACAATAGTGCTAACTAAAATCTGATCTCGTATAGGAGTGAGATCAAGACTAATAACAGCAAGGGTTAGAACCATGAAGAATTTATCTCGTTGTGCTAGATCTTCTGCAGCAGATTTACCAGCAGGTAAGAGAAGATTGTACTCTACATTAAGAGAGGCCATCTTACCAAGAAAATCTAACATACTCATATCCTATTGTTTTAGATTAATGAGATTGGACACAACGGAATACAAGCATTGAACGTCATTGGTATATAATAGTTTAGCCTGACTCCATATCTCACAACATGTGCGGTATGTTTAGTAAATAAGATGCAAATTAGTGTCAATTGACTACCATAATAGATTACACAATAAAGCATCAGCTTTGATCCAAGAAGACTTATCTGATGTGATGTTGACAACCTTTGTGGTTAAGTGATCCTCCAAACCTTGACCCGTACACCATAACTCAACAGAGGTAGCCCAAGAAGAATAATTCGCACTCCCAATCAACTTATCAATGGTGATTAATGGGAGAGACAAGAAAGGAAAACCACCGAAAGTGGACTTTGAGCTAGAAGTAACCATGATAATTAGCAAATCCAACCGAAAACCAAAACCAAAGGTAACACGGATCAAACAAACAAATTGAAGCAGAAGATCCGACAAGGATAGCGACAGAATCTGGTGAAGCTATCGGAGTTGACATTGAAGGCAGTAGAACCTTAGTGGGTTTTGCTCGTCGTAGTCTTCTAAGCAAGCTGGTGTTGACAGGGAGAACTGACGCTCGTCGGAAAATGAGATCAGAGTTGGATCTATCGGAAAGAAACACCACGTGTGAAGGCACGTGCAATGGCCGATGACGTCGATCTTTGTGAGGTTCTACTAACAAGATGGAGACGATGAGACATGTATAGTCAGATGGAGGTTCTAACCATTAGAGAGAGACATCTAATCGTCGTCAGAAAGCTTCGCCAGAAAAAAAAAATTAAAATTTTTGACAACCTAGCTTTGATATCATGTGAAAAATCAGAGAAACTAATAGTGTGTTTATATTTCTTGTATTATGATCAGAAAATAGTTCATCAATATATTGGAAAATAAAGAACTAATCTAGGAAATGAATAATCTAACTTCCTATTTTACAGATTTTGTTCTTAATATCTATTGATTACAATCCTAATATCCTAATATATAATTATACACTTCAACAGGTTGTATGGCAATATAATTAAACTCTTGTTCTTCAAACTTGCCAACCGATTGGCAAGCAACCGTGCCCTTTGGGCTCTTGTTCCCATGGCGTTAGTGCTGCCTGCTATTGACAATGAGTTGGGGCTCATGAAACCAATTTCATTTACATTGACCCCATTATCCTTCAGCTTCTAATATAAAGCCTTGGCCCAATTCATCCAAGATAATTTAAGACATAAGCTACAATTAGATTTCAATCAAATCCTAGAGAATACTTGTTATCATGCAATGTACCTTTCTACAGAAACTCAGGTGGGGTGTATGCTAAGTTGGTACTATAGCTTTTTCCATCTCTGCTATTTTTCATAAGGCCGAAACTGGATAAACGAGGTTCACCTTCCTGAAATATGCCATAAGTTAGCTATGTTCATCTTACAATAAGTTAATATCATCACCAAGTAGAAGAGAAATGGTGTGCTTTAGAGCAAATAATCAAATGCTCTATAAAACAGTCTGTATGCAATAATAAATACAGGAACTCCGGTCTCCTGATAGTGCACTGTCTTGAACCTTGAACCCTAATAGGTCAAACAAAATTTTGATAGCTTCAACAAATGGAAAAAGTTAATGCATGATGGCAGGTAATGAGCTAACAAATCACTGAACATCAAATTGATGATTGAATAATATGTTACATGTTCCAGTTCCAGTTCCACTCATTTTAGAACTTACCTATAGAATATTAATCATTTAAAGGTCAATACAAGCAAAAAATAAATGTCTTTTCCATTAATAAAATGACCACTTAGAAACAAAGCTTAAACATAGTGATTGAAGATGTATGGGCGTTCAATTTGCAGTGGAAAAAATAAGCAAAAGTTAACAATGATAAGATTATAGAGCTGGAGCAATCTGTATCTTCATTATGAAAGTCTTGAGTCCAAGAACTCAAATCAGGATAATGTTGAACAGCATGCATGCAGCCTACATAAGTACACTTTACCTGTTGCATGATGAAATGCCACTAATTCTCCAAATTAACTTGAAGAATATAACAGAGATGTCCATAAAGGTAAAGGTAAATTGTTGTACACATCTTTAGGTAGTTTGAACGCAAAAATCTCAAAGACAAGGTGGCTAGGTCCATAAAGACAAGGTTAACTGTTAGGAGCACAGCATGAAAAGGCTCGTCTAATTACTTCAAAATATTGAAATTGGTAGTGGCCATAGAAAATAGCAAAAGAATAAATAAATGGCCTACATGGTGTGGGAGACATGATGAACTGGATAGCTTCACAGCATTTTTCTTAATAGCATTTTCCAGAATAATATGGAGTTCCATCTCTTCATGCAGCTTCTGTTGTAACCTTTGTACCAGTTACATTGATATTCTTGTGAGGCTACAGTAAGTTACAATGTATCTCGTTAACTAAGCCTGTAAATTTACTTTTATGGAACCATGTAAGATACTAAATTAAACAGGTAAAATACTTCCTAACAGCAAGGTTAATAAGCATGTGACAGAATGAATCTAAAAGCTAAATCAAGAAGATAGAGTCTCTTCTATGAAGAAAATAGGCAAACACAACATTGCAATTGTGAGGAAGTGAAAAAGGTTGTGAATGAATTTACCAAATTAGCAATGACATAATGCCCTGCCCAAGCTTGATAAGACACATAACAATGAATACAGAAGCACTACCTAGTACATTAATGTATCAGAAACCCCTGGAAAGAAACAAGCACTGAGAGGATGAAAGTGGTGTATAAGATTCTCTTGATAATTTAGTTTTTTATGATCCACTAACACACTGAAGTACTGAACCATAGTCTCTATAGCATTCTCCATCTAAAACCTTATTTGAGGTTATATGTTTCTAACGTTTTGAATAACAAATAAATAAATAAAGCAAACTACTCAGTAAAACACAACATAGACAACAGTAATTCAAAGGTTGAAGCTTACATCCTTCTCAAGCTGAAGTCTGTATGGGTAAGAATCTCTGTTTTTAGCACATGATCCAAGACTTTCAGCATCTTCACTACAGTCCCACACCTAAATCAATCACCAATTTTTTCTGTCAACACAAGATGTTTTGAAGACAAGAAAAAGAAAAGGAAGAGGATATTAATAATAACTAATAAGATGTTATGCAAGTGTTAAAACCAAATACAAGAAAACTCAACAGAAAGCTAACAAATTCAACTACAAGTCTATTTGAAGCATTTGTACCAGGGAGAATGAAACTTTAAAAAGACTTCCAACTGAAGTCAACAAAGAAATGAAGACTTCATATGAAGCCATTTGTCCATCCAAATCAGCATAGCAACTCAAAACTCATGTTATTGGCCGTAATTAGAGCACTCCCATTAACAAGTACCGTTGCAACATTGAATTATTCAAAATCAAGAAAAACCTCTGAAAATGGAAACCCAAATGGAAACATCAGAACAAACCACTTGACCAAAATTATGCAGTACATATCAAAAAGGAAATAAGAGAAACAACAATGCACCCAATAGCTTGGTCCATTTATGTTTTTTACTCAACCTTTATCCACACTAATCTCAACCCCAACTTTATAATGCACTAAAAAGAAATGCCTACCCCAGAACTAACCTCTAAGGATGAATTATCACTGCAAGATTCATCAACGACATCTAATTGAGAGTCTGACTTGTAGTAACTCGCTTCAGAACCAGAAAATCTGGAGATTGAACTATTTCTGTATGAAAATGTCAGCAATAATAGGAAAAAAAAACGCATAAGAAAAAATAGAACTGAAAACTCCATCCATAACCAGAGAAACAGAAGTAATAGTAGAAAAAACAAGAAGAAAACACGCTTACAAGCTAAAGGCAGATCGCATAACTGGTGAGTCACACATCTTGTTATCATGAGATTTGGCATTTATCACTTAAAATATAACCTGGAATTCCCCAAAGAGCTTGGCTTCTTTGTGCTCATATAACAACAAGCATCATAAATACTGCTGATCACAACAAACATCAACTATGTGTTTGTTAAAGCATATTAAACTGTGCAATTTAGCAAAGTTTTATTCCTCATAATCATAGCATAATTATAAATTAAATTCAAAAATTAGAAAAGAAAGCACTGTCCAACCTGTGAGGATGTAATTAGGACAAATTTATTCATGAATGCACAGCTACTAGTCACTTTCAACACAACCATACAAATACAACACAAGTTGAGTGCTTAAATCCCATACCTGTTTCAAGACAACCACCAACCAACACAACTTACATTATCATTAAGCTATTTACAACTATTATTTTCTAAAGAAAGTAGAAAACAAAGCAAAAACCAAAAAGAAAATTCCCAATTGATGTCCTAAACTTGAATTCATTTTCTCAGCAATCAAAACAAAGCATAAACTGTATCTACTTTTCCATTTATCTTTTCAAATTTTTTCCTCATCCACCCATGATCCGAAAAAGGGGATTAAACCCGGATTCCCCTTTTTCTTTACCAGCAAAAAATATTTCCCACTTTCTTCATTTCTCATCAACCAAACATAAAAACAAAGTAAGAGAAGTGTTGTTTCTGACCACAAACTGTCGAGCGTCAGGCCAAGATTGTTTAGTAAACCTTTTTACAGCAACCAAACTATTTCTCTAACTTTCCTTTATAAACCACATTGGGTGCCTTCTCCCCACTCTCAGAAACCATATAAGCTGAGCTAAACCCATTAGTCGCTTTTCTCGGCTTGTTTAGACCAAACGCTTTAAATTTACTCACTTGACACTCTTCATCACCCTGATCTCCATCCCCTTCAAAACAACACAAAACCATCAAAAAACCCAAAAAATATAAAAAATAAAAACAAAGACAAAGACATGTTCACCCAAGGAAGAAAACAATAATCTTACAGGTGATGGTTTGCGGCAGCGGAGGTGGCAAAGTGATGACTTCACTGTTTATTGCCGATACCGAGAACTGAAGAAACAACCGATGGAAGAGATTTTGGCGATTTGGTGGAAGAGACTTGGGCGATTTAGTGGAGGAGATTTAGGGTTTACGGGCTCTGATTAATTTCGTGGAGGAGATTTTGGTTTTTGGCGGCAGTTTGTTTCTTGCCCTACGTTTGACTTAGCAAAAATTTAGGGTGGAAGAGATTTGTGTGTTTTGGGCGGGAAAATTTGCCTAATATTAGGGTGGGAAGCTTTGGCCAAATTTGAGATCTCGGAATTTTTTTTTTTTTCTTTAACTTAATCCTCGACAGTTAAACACTGTCAAGGATTAAGAATATACCAATCAAGAAATAAACTTTATTTTTTCAAAATCCTTGACAATTTTTAATTGTCAAAAATTAGGACTAAAACAATCAAGGAATGAAATTGAATAGCTTAATTTTTACACAATCCTTGACAGCTAATAACGATCAAAGATTTGCTGAAACAGTCAAGGATTACAGTTGAAAACAGTCAAAAAGTTGTCAAGGAAAAGATTGCTTGATTGTTTTTAAAAACAGTCAAGAAATTCTCTCAAATTTTTTGTCAAGAAAGGTCTTTTTCCTTGTAGTGCACGTTCAAGAAGATCTAAATTATGTGATCAAGTTAGAAATTTGACTATACCATGGTCTGCACTTGATCGGAACATGACATCGAAGGGAATGAGGCGACATGATTGAATTGCTCAATTTTACAAGTTCATATGATTCCACTTCACTCACTGATTGGGAGCCATGATATACGGCTAGGTGTAAGGACGTTGGATATCAAGAGTTGATATTTACCTTATTGCAAATTGATAAATAAACCTAGAAAGGTCACACATATTATGGATTTCTAAACATGATGGGAATCAGAGATTTTTTTATTAAAGAGTTAATGAGGATATTAAAGTTTCCAAAAGTTCTAATTGGCTGATTAGTATAATTGGTTAAAATGGTATTTTTGTAATTGGATAAATTAATTATTGTTAATTAATTTAATTAATTGATCAAAAAATTAAGTCCAAATAAGGAAACTTTATAAGGGGGTTTAACAATTAAACTTAGACCCAAATTGGGGTAGCACCCAAATGGGCCTAAGTTTAGTTATTAGTTAATTCAATTGAGAATAATTTAAACTGGAATAAGATATTCTAGGGATGACCTATTAATTCAATATTGAGTGACTACTTAAAGGAGGTTTAGGGTTCATTGTTTTTTTTTAAAAAATTTCACAATATACAATATACAAAAATATAAGAAAAACCCTAACCTCCAATATTGTCTTCCATCCCAAGAAAGAAGTTGTTCTTGATTCTATTGTAATGGAATAATTTCCATCAGTGTGAGATCTTGTGTGTATCGATCTAATAGTACCACACTTAGGGTACTTGGAGAGGATTCAATGAGGAGAAAGATATAACAAAGAAACTATAACATTTTAATTACTTACTCATTCCGTATTATTTAGGTTCTTTATATTCATATGTGTATGTGGATTTATTGTTAATAGATATATACATGCATGCATTATTTGCATTAAAACGTTACTATCATGATCATAATGGCATTAAGGGCAGGAAATTTTTAAAATCCGAGCAACCGGATGCTTCCGCTAAGTATTCCTAACCCTAGCAGATACAACTGAATAGCTCCCAGCCACTCTTCTCGATGAGCACGAGCATCGGAAGATAACCACCAAGTCTTATAACGTCAAAGTTATAAGAATTGTTAAGAGAGTTTGTGAGTTTTTTTTAAGCTTTTATGTATTGTATATATTGAGTGAGACTAACCCCGTTTATGTAGATATTTTAATAACAACTACTTTTATAATTTAATAGTCCAACTTAAATTTTACTAACTCGTATAATTATTGTTATTTTTTTGTAACTTATCACAAATTTATTTATATTTTAAAATTTGTAACTCCTACGCAATTTATATGATTTAATGATTATAAGGCTTAAAAATCTTTTAAACTCCAACAAATACAAACAAGCTTTTCCATTTATATTTGTGCAAACTACCAAAGTATCACTTTTTTCCTATTGAAGGTACGAAACTATTTTTGTTCTTGTTGAAAGTACCAAACTATCAATTATTTCTGTTAAAGATATCGAACTTTAAGTTTTTCCTATTGAAGGTACAAAACTTTCATATTTTTTCCTATGGTGTTAAATATTGATGACATAGCATTTTTTCCGTAAAAAATTACTGACATGGCAATTTTGGTATGTTGATTAGACATTTTGACGTAGCAATTAAGGTTGGCTTAGACATTTATAATCTAAAAAATCTCAAATTAACCCCTTATTTTTTATTATTTCAATAAAAATCATAAAAACCACCCATCATAAATAAAACCTACCCAAAATGAAAACTTATCCTAATTAAAACCCATTATCTCTTTTTCTTTTTTTTCTTTAATTCTTTCCACTGTCTTTTCTTGTTCTTCTTCTGTTCAGCCTCTTTTTTTTTTTTTTTTTTTTTTTTTGGTTTTGCTTGCATTTTCCCTTATTTTCTTCTCTATGTCTTCCACTTCCCTACTTCTTCTTCATTTTCTTCGTCCACTTTTTTTTTTTTTTTTCGTTTTTTGTTTCCTTATTTCTTTCCATCTCCACCACTTCTTCTTCTTCCACACTCATGGTTAAGATTTGGTTTCTTCATGGTTCAAGATTTGAGTTTGTTTTTGGGTATTTTTTGATACCCAATTTAATTTTTGCTTGATTTGTGATTGTGTTAGATGTAGGGTTTGATTTGTAATTGATTAGGTTCTGATTTGGTTTGTGTTAGAGTTTTGATTAGATTCACTGTTACAGAAATGAAAATAAAAAGAGGATTGCAGAAAGGGAATGAGTGTGAAGTAGAGTGGGGAAGAAAATGAGAAAGAAAAAGAAAGGGAGGGGAGGGGAAGAAAAAAGAAAAGAAGATAATAATATAAAAATTAGATAGAAAACTGAAAAGACTACTTATACCTTTCATCGTAATAGAGTTTGGGTCACGTATTTATGAAATGAGTAATACTAACATAATTATTCTTTTATACAATATTTCTCATACAAATTATGTGATAAGATATGATGACTAATTTAAAGTAAAATTAAACTTTCACCCAATCACATCTTGTTACAAATATTGTATGGGAATGATGTATGTGTAATATTATTCATATGAAATTATTGGTGCATTTTGTGCATTTTGTTATTTTAATATTTTCATTTTGGGTGGTTTTGGTTATTTTGGTTGTATTTTGTGCTTTTTGTGGAATTAAAATTAGAGGAATAGGTAAATTTGAAGAATTTAAAATATGAAATATACACTTCAACCCTAAAAAAGTTTGTCACTCGTCAGTGCTACATGTACACATCATCCTCGTTAGTGCTACATGTACACATCATCCCTCATAAATTTTCACATACACATCTTGGAATTAAAAAATCCACATCATTTAATTTTAACGATATTAGAAGTTGGTCTCTAAAGTGTTTGACGGTGTACAAGTTCATACCTTCAATAGAAATAATTGATAATTTGATACATTCACAATTCCCCACGCACAACACAAAAATTATATAAAGTATATTGGATTTTAGTACTTTTTGGTTGTTAGATCTATCCATTTAAGATTTACCGATCATGGACCGTATAACCGATTATATTAAGGCAAATAAAGAATTGAATGGATGCTTAGCAATAAATCATGTACACAAAGAAAAAAATTTGGTAACTCTGCACGCATAAATCCCAAGGATATGAAAGTACCACATAAGTTATTCAGGATAGTTAACTAATTTTAAACTTCTATTAATTAATATTTTGCCTTATAATTTACACATCTATTTACATAACTTGAAATTTTAAATTGTAAACTTATGAAAAATTACAAGGGATCAAAAAAGTAATTTCCAAGGATCAGAATCTGTTTTAGATTTGAATTCTAAAAAGCTAAAATAAATAGAATTGATTTTATGAAATTGGATTTT